CTAAACAGTTTGAATTCTGATCTTTAGTTAAATCTGAAAGAAGGTTAATTAGCATACATTGAATTATACTCTGTTTATAAAATGTAACTGGGCTGTCTTGTTCGTTGAGATAATATCCATGAGAAAAAAGAACATCATGTTTACGTATAGGGAGTGCTTTCAGACCTAGTCCTCATCGATGCAGACCGCATTAGTATAATTCATATTTTCATTAATAATGGAATCTCTCGTATTCGCATGAATTTCTCTGAACGTTGGTCTTTTTTGTGGATCCACGTCCCAGCAGGATTGCATGAGTGAATAGATTCTTGAATGACACTCAAAACCGTATTTTGTTGGTGACGGCAGTCTTCGGCCATTCAGTACAGCTTCTTTCACTTCATCTGTCTTGAGATCTAAAATTACCAACAAAAGGGCTGAATTATTTCACGTAATGGAGACTTAATTATATACATGTACATGAACGTGTAATGAATTGGTCCACTTCCATAGGAATTGAAGGGATAATTGGTAAAAGGGTGAAATATAGGAGACTCTCAATCTGTATGGAATGGGAAATTTGAGGCAGGATTTGAATCCTGCATTCCCATTTCAAATCATTAGAAGTGCGAATAAAATGACAAGAGAAGAGAAGACACAAATCTACGCATACTATGAGTGACACTTCAATTGCAACAAACGAGTCTTCAGAAGACAGCGATTAAAACTGCAATCTTACTCAAAGGTCCACAACAACTACATCTACCAAAGTGAGTAAGTTATTGATCAGGTGGGCTTTGAAAACATTCTCGCGAACTGTACTGATTGCTCATTCAAAGACATACCTTCATAAGGCTGCATTCCACATGTTAGGATCTCGAACATCAAGACACCGAAGGACCAAACATCACACTTGGTTGTGCACTTAGTCTCACCAAGCATTATCTCTGGTGCTGTCCAACGTGCAGGAAAATGTTCTGAAGAAAAAAATGTGAGATATTGGAGGGAATCCAATACAGAGAGTTTGTGAAAGAAACAAAGAGACTGACCTATTTTGTTGTTCATATCAGATCCAAGAATTTGCGCTAATCCAAAGTCGGATATCTTGACTACACCCTCTTTATTAACAAGGATATTATCTGCGCGTAGTTCCATATGGACAATGTCTAAGGACTCCAAATAAACCATCCCTTGGGCCAACTACAAAATATAAAGCGGAAAATCGATTAAAATAGGTAAGACTCTAAAGCAGGAACTTGATAAAATATCGATAAAAGTCAAGTCAACTTTGACAATCGTTCCATATGTTATAATGGTGAACGACTAGAAATTGAAAATACTCTGAAGATTTCAGAAACAATAAATCAGTCTGGATTCCCCAAAGGAATTCTAGATATCCTTCACACCTAGTGAGTAACATTCTTATGGTCGCTTACATTTGTAAAATTCCGTCATTGCATATGTAGTTTTAAAACAAACGTGTTTTAAAGCAATCAGTTAATATTGCCAGATTTTGTAAATAAAAGTTCAGGATCATGCTCATATAGATGTAAATAAATACAGTCCAAACTAATCCAAATTTACCTTATTTTTTAATTTCATCTAATAATTAGATATATAATAATAATTAGGCTATTTAAAGTAGAGATTGGACCAAGCAAAACACAATTTAATAAGTCTTTAGAGAAAAGAGAAACAAACTGACTCTATCTGCCATTTTGATGAGATCATCGTAGGTGAATTTTGATTTTCCAAGTTTAGTAAGGTAGTGTTTCAGGGACCCGTTTGCCATGAACTCTAGCATGATAATGACAGAGTTATCATTGGGGTCTTCAGCGATCCCCAGGAACTGCACAATTGAGGGGTGCTGCAGCACGAGCATCATCTGGGCCTCTCTACATTGTACCCCCCTGAACCTCTTAACTGCCATCAAGACATTGCCAAATTGGGCCTTGGAAACCACACCAAATCTGCCTGATCCCAGCTTCTCCAAAATTTTCAATTCTCCAAGGTCATATTTACAGTCATTCAATTTAAGAGGAGGGTTAACACGGGGAAGCCGGGGTTTTGTCAGTCCGAGTCTTCCATCTATTGTTGTTGCTGCAAAATTGGAGGGTAAATGGATGTCTTTCTGCCAGCATATTATATCTATCTACAGGCTCGTATTGAGAACATTTGGAATCTGTCACGCATTGAGAATGCCAGAAGAGGAAAAACACACAAACCATTAGAAATGCTCAATTTCAAATCTTAAAGTTGGAAATGCACTGCAGCTTTATTTGACTATCTCTTTCATAAAGGTTGAAGAAATAAGCGAGTATAATGATGTTTGGATGGCCATACTACCTTAAAGAGAGTTCATTTTATTTAAATGAAATTATCAGTACATATTCGAGCTAAAGATATCTAGCAAACAGAAGAGTAGTTTTAGGTTCTGAAAGTGATAGATCTTAGAGTCCTAAAGACCTTCAAGACTAAATGTATTGGCTACTCTAGAGTCCACTTTCATAGAATCAAAAACGCAAAGATATTTAAGACCCATCGTCCGATTTATTTATTTACTTATTCGGAAAGTGCATCCAACCCCACTCACACGTATCTCACAGCAGACTGATGCCGACAACGTGATGAGATTTGGTGGTATCAGGCAGTGTCTATGGGCTCATTGAGCATGTTTCAAACAGTAATAGCACCACCTGTTACGAGTAGAGAATCAATGAAGCTTATTTTGAAAGGGGACCGTACAGTCATAGGGGCGCTAAAGGGGCTACATCTATACACCACTACGCATATATCTTATTTTTTTAGAGGACAATCATGTGTTCGATTCTGTGGACTAAAATAACTTAATAATTCACCATCTTCGAAGATTTCTATTATGCACTTTCTCAAACAAAGACCATAAAGACATTCACTTATACTTGTACTTATACAACGACGCATGCAAATAATTCATACACGCCTGCCATTTGATATAAATAAATAAATTGTTCTAAGATTGGATAAATAATGAGCATTCGAATAATAGTATAGACTGAATGAATTCTTGAGAAATGAAACAGCAATTAGCAATTTAACTTCCCTCCCCCTTCTCTCCGAGTTACAGTGCCTTACAAGTAAGCAAGACCATCACTTGGAATGACGGCAATGTGTGAAAGAGCTAGTACTCACGAAACATTGCATTTGCTCTTTTTGGTATAACACATTCCATCTAAATTTAGCTCCACTCTCAAAATCACAATTGTGTAACATCAATGAAATTGTTGAAACGCATATAGATAAACGTGCCACTCAACGGTCTCACACGAATGCTTATGGTGATTTAATAATGACGCCAATTTTGGTGAAATTTCTCTAAAGCCTGTAAAAACAAAAAGCTTCTAATGCTCGCAAAGCTATGGGCATGTTTATAATTTAAAAAAACTAATAATAAAGTAACATGCATTTGTAGGGCTAGTTTCTAACTAAGTATTTTATTTCTAAATCAAAGTCGATTATAGATACCTTAACAACTCGAAGTTTCATAGTTAAAAATAAGAAAGCAATATAAACTCACATTTATAATGATTTAAAAGAGTTTCCATTGTTGGGAAGGTAATATGTGGTGTTAAATAGAAAAGGTCTGATGATCGATTGTATCCCACAAGATAATGAGCAATCTCAGTTCCTACGCCACGGACAGATAGAGCATACGGAAATTCACTGCCTATTTGCAAAAGGGGCTTGAATAACATCAAACAAGTTCACTATGGAGAAACGATATGCCAGATGAGAAAAACATACTCTTTCCTGGGCGTATTATGAACATCCCAACTTCCACACCGAGTGCGAGGAGTTTTTCCTCGGCTTCAGGTCGTTCCACATCAAACCACCCTTCTAGGACAGTCGCCTTTCCTTTATCCGTCGTCACATACTTGGCA